TTTTTTTTTTTTCTTTTCTTTTTTTAAATTCAGACAATAGTGATTGGTGTCTCTCAGATACCATTGATTTAGAGGGGTGGATGAAAACAAATATCCAGAAAATAAAAACAGGTTCAAAATAAAGATTTTGATTCCTCTACAGCATCTATCTGCTGAAGTGCTCTTCAAAAAAAAAATCTAAATTATTTTTTTACCCTGCTCCTGGCGCATCCTCTCCCGCTCTGCATAGCCAACTGCTGCCATGTTGAGGCGGCTCAGCCACCTATGAAAATAAATAAATAAATAAACACAACAAAACACAGCATTAAAAATCAACTTAATTTTTTTAACCACAAAATAAAACGGCAAGAGTTTGTTCAGGACACTACAGACTGCTCTACAAACCCAAAATATCATTGGACAACAGTAGATCCTAACAATTATTGTAATATTTTGATGAAACATCACACGAGCAAATATATATATTTTTTGTTTCAATGAACTAATAAAATATTGTTTCCTAAACACTGACATCTATTGTTTAATATTTCCTAAATTCAAAATGGAAGTGACATTTTCTGCAAATGTAGTTTTAAGGCCCTTTATAAGAACATATATTTGATATATTGGATATAAATAAACTACTGTATATGTTTTATACTTTGTGAGAAATAACTGTAAGCTACATTTTTCTTTTTCCACCCAGCTGAGATTCTGCCCCGCTGCACAACCATCATCTTAGTTCTGCCCTCACTGCTTTTACCTGTTCATGTCATCCACTCCATCTGCTGCAAAGTAGAAACTCTTGACCTTGGGGTGACATGCTTTGAATGCACTGGAGAGACAGAGAGATCTATTTTTACACACACACCTTCATGCATTCAGTAGCTGAACACAAGGACAATAGGACATAAATATGGAATAAAGCAGGTTTTCTCAGACACTTACTACTTCTTCCGACATTCACTGGCACGGTCAATCTTGAACTCTGGAAGACTGACAAAACCTTCTGCCTTCTCATCCTAAAAAAATTGCAAAATAAAAAGACAAAACTGCTTGAAAAAATGACTAAATGGAAATTATAGGAATTATAGGTATATTCTGTGGCGCTTTAGTTAATGCATATTGATAAAAAAAAAATAATGGTCACAAATAATTTGTTTGTTTTTTCTCAATTTTTCCAAATCAAGCTGTAGGACAGATTGTTTGTGCTTGTTATGTTGCAGATAGGCCTGTAGAACATGTGTAAATGCTGAATTAAACAAGAAAATGCTTTAGTATATGGACTGTAGCAGTTTCTTATAAACATATTTTACTTAAGCATGCACTTTTGCTAAAACATACAAATGAAGTACAACAGAGCCCCATACAGGAAAAAGTTTCTGCATAAATGTTGTCAAGCATTGGACCAGATGATGGGACAAAATAAAAAAGAACAAAGTACAATTTTTAAACCATCATGCTGAAGATTTTTTATTAATGAGCATGAAATGAGCAGAATCTATCCTAATTCATCCTGAGATAAACCAACAAAACTGACAACTATGATTCATAATTCAATTAGGATTCAATGCAGTGGGTTGCAGCAATATCCACACCCTTGCTATTCTTTCCATTTATCTATTTTTTGTCATAAAAACATTTTTATTTGAATATAAGTAATAAATCTGCACAAAATTGTTCAGATTTATTAGGTTGCACTAGGCTGCAGTAATTACAGCAATATCTAGTCACTTGAATTTTTTGTTACTTTATGGTAAAAGTGCTCCATCTTTTTCCAGTTGGGTGGGCACCATTTATGAACAGCAGTCTGAATTATATCCAATATTTTCAAATGGATTGGAGTCTGGGCTTTGACTGGGTCATTCCAGGACCCATACCTGTTTTTATCTCAAACCACTAAAGTTTTGCTTTAGAATTATTGTCCTGCTGGAAGGTATGTTGCTGTTCCAGCCTTACATTTCTGGAAGACAAACAGATCAAGAGGTTCTCTGTATTTTATGTCATTCTTCGTTTGTTCATCTCTGACTAGTTTTTCAGTTCCAGAAGACAAAAAAACATGATGCTGTCACAATTATGCTTTACTGTCAGAATGGTATTCTTAGAACGGTGAGAGAAAGTGGCAATTTTAGTCTCTTTGTGGGGGTACTCAAGCACCCCTAAATTTTAACTCAGCGCCCATATACATACATACATATATATATATATATATATATATATATATATATATATATATATTTATACTGTATTATATATATATATGTAATGAGATAATATGCGTCTGATATTATCCTTCATTTAAACGGATTCTTTCATTTTTCTGGACTAAGTCATATCGTGCTTTGTGGAGTAAATGTGGACAGAGACGTGTTTAAATTTCTGACTCACCAACAACAGTGGGTCGTTTATTTTAAACGATTTAAAAACACATCACACATTTACATTAATTGGCAGATTGATTACAATTAACACAGCTTAATTAATGAGCGTTGCAATGAGAAATCATACGGCCATGATATCTCACTTGCAGCTTTTGAAACAACAGACATTTCTGAAGATATCTGGATTATTTACTGGCAAGATAGAAGTTTAAAGATGGGAAAATGAAGGAGTTTAAATGGAGAGAAAATGGATGAGGGAAAGTGTGTTGATAACGAACGGCACCCTCCTTTCGACCCAGCTCCCCTCGGTACACTTCGGTAGTGGAAATCGACTCTTTACCTTGCAGAAGATACCTCAGCTTCGGTGTAGAATTCCCTTTCAACGCTACCATTTCAGCTTCTCCGTAGGATAGCTGAGAAACGTACGGAGTAGTGGCGGTATTCGTTCAACAGCACGCTCACCTCCCGGGTGGACTCACATGAGCTGTGAGCCCGTCAGAGTTCCACTCAGATGTGGAAGATTCCATAATCCCCACGAGACTCGGAAGAACTCCCAACTAACTCCAGCACTTCAGAACTTTTTCTGTTCGGTTCTGCTCTCAGAACTCTTCTGTTCGGTTCTGCTCTCAGAACTTTGAACTGACTGGAACTAGGAAGTGTCGACTTTTTAAAGAGTTCGCTTCCGGTCCCTTTTTGGGAAATCCTGATTGGTTGAAAGAACCAACAGGGGTGTGGTTTTAGTGACATAAGAGGTTATTACAAGTCAGAAAAACAGTGAGATGTTTTTGGAACAGACAGAGAAATGTTTAGGCGAGATGACAGACCACAGGTGCCAGCTTCTTATTTCTTTCTGATAGGTTTAAAAACATGACAGTTCGTTCCAATAAACTTGTTTGCGACTGTCTCTGACTTTTGACCGACATCACCCCCTCTCATTTCAGACAGAAGATCAAAAAATGCATAATTACTCTGTAACAGACATTAACTTGATTTCTACTTTGAATGAGGATTAAAAAAATAATTAATACTGTTTCACAGTTGCATTAAAATGAGTAGTTCACTTCAATATTTAAAAATGATTTGAACTAAACACACTTTGATTATCAAAATATTGTAAAATAGTAATGATAATATAAAAAGAGAGTGTTCTTTCAATTGATTAGTTTAGGATACACTTAGAAAGTCTCTGGATGAGCTTAATTTGTATTTCTGGACTCCAATGAAATAACAGTTCTTGTCCCATGAAGGTCCTCAGGGTCAGGTTTTGACCTGAGGCTTAGTTCACTACATATATATATGTATGTATATATATATATATATATATATATATATATATATATATATATATATACACTTCAAATCGTGACTCATCTGAGCACAGAACAGTCTTCCATTTTGCCAAACTCCATTTTAAATGACCCCTGGCCCAGTGCAAACACCTGAGCTTGTGGAGCTTGCTTAGAAATGGCTTCCTCTTTGCACTGTAGAGTTTCAGCTGGCAACGGCAGATGGCACGGTGGATTGTGTTCACTGACAATGCTTTCTGGAAGTATTCCTGAGCACATTCTGTTATTTCCTTGACCGTGGCATTCCAGTTTGAGGTGCAGTGACGTTTAAGGGCCCAGATATCACAAGCATCCAGAAGAGTTTTATGGCCTTGACCCTTAAACACAGCGATTGTTCCAGATTCTTTGAATCTTTTGATGATAT